TCTATCAAAAGTGAACACGAGTTCTAGCAACTTATGCTAAAATAGTTATCAGTTATTATCTGCTTCCCTCCATATTGATGCAGGTCCGATTTAAAGACAGATAATGAAAATAGAAAGAAAAAAGATAAGGGTTGTTCTCCGCCAACTGTTGAGAGCTTTGCAGAAACTATGGCCATGAGCCGTTTTAAGTTTTATGTGTGATTCTCTTACTAAGTAAACCATGATTAGTCAATAAAATTTTAAAGCACTAATTCACCACTGCAAATCAATGAATTTTGATCTAGGTGACTGCATTGAAAGATTCCCCATCGCATCGTCTTGGAATACGGAGAAATGCCATAGTAGGTAAGTAAATGGCAAACTCTTTTTCAGTATGGGTAAACAGGTAAAAAAAAAATGAATGACCAACACAGATCACAGAGTTCGATTAATAGTGCCTGCAAATATGGGGACGTGAAACTTGAGTGAACACTATTTTGCGATAAGGTCCTGCCCTCTTCCTCCTCGGAAGAATGCCACCTTAAGTGTAGGATTAGGAAAATAATAATGTGCCAGTTGAAGACCAGGTTTGCCCATGACACATCTTAATCAACCAGTTTTAATTTGGGAAACTTTGTATTTCATCAGATCCTAGAGATACCCTCGAGGAAGCGTTTAATGCTCTTGAAGATAGAGAGAGCGATGGGTTACTGTTGGATGCATATGTGGCCGGTAGTGGTGCCAAGGAAAAAACGTATCGTGTTAACCAAGTAATAGACGTGAAAAAAGGACTTGGTGTAGTACTGGCCGGGGATGCGATGGTTTTGCGATATCGAATACGTGATTTTGTGAAGAAAAATGCAGAGAAAATTACAAGGATTATTCAAAATAGTACAACACCTCTGCTGGTGAGTGGCACTATTAATTGTCCTGTATCGGTTGCAGATCAGCTGCAGTTATTTCATAGCGTTAGCCTACGAGAGTAAATGAATCTTATAATGAATACGAAAGTGATCTTTGCAGTAATGAACACTACTTGAGCAGTAGAGGTCATGGGTCCAAATCCTGTACAGGTCTGAACTTTTTTCAGGCCTTATTTTCACTACTGCTCAAGTATTTTTCATTACTGCGAAGATCGCCTTCGTATTCATGTCTTTATCCGCAGTTAAAATATATGACTTTCATATATTCATAGTCGTTTGAATCTTATAAGATGTTTTGGTGTGTAGTATCGCTGAGTATTTTTACGAGTTGTGCTGTACTTTGACTTCATTCGGTTTTTTGTTCACACAGGCCAGCATAGCTAAGGATTTTTTTTGCAATAGTTGAGGAACACTGAGCGTTTGATTGCGAAAGACTTAGATTCTCGTCGATTTTGCATTGAATTTAAATGATATTGGGAAAGAACAAAAACGTCGATTCTCTGGATAACGGAAGGATTTGTACCAACAACATACTTACTTCTGTACATTTTACTATAAACAGCAACCAAAACATAGTACTGCTGAGGAAAAAGTGCAAAACCTTGTGGATGCCAACTCTCAAATCTACCGAGATGCCGTCACTGTTGTGGCGGGTGCTTTGGCTGTGAGTATTGTGCTTGGAATTGCCTGGGAACTCTTTCGAAAACGACGTCTTAGCCGAGAAAGAGGTAACTTAAGCTAGGAGAAACATTTCCATTGCAGATACGTTCCCGTAACTCTACTCTTTACCTGATAGAATACGCTTTAACATGGCGAGTTGTTAAAATAGATTATATTTTGGACAATTGTAATATCCTCTCTACTAGGGTATGTTCTCATTTTGTATGCGGGATTATTTCAATGCGTTCCTAAGTGGAAACAAATGGAGGTTTACCTCTTGTAGTGTCGAAATAGTTGACAAAATTGAAATTTCTTGTGCGCCTGACTTTACTAGAGATAATTATAACTCATTGCCCAACAAATTAGTTTCAAATATTTGCGTTTTAAAATGGCCATGATCTTTAAAAATTAATTGTTTTCATTTCAGGGGGAAACAAAAACTCTTGTGTATCGGATATGGCAGAGGCTGTGGACGACTTCCATGAAAAATTTAAAAAAACCTATAACAGATTAAGAAAAAAACACTCAGAGGAGTTGAAGACTTATAACACTTTTGCCAAAAGGTTAAGTGCAATACAAAAATGTAATAATCCTGTTGTTGGGTAAATCCTGGAAGTACCAGAAATTTCAAAGAAGATTTCTAATAGAAATTCTCCTCGTATAAAGTTTTTAAACGTGTTAGAAGATTTTTTGCGATAAAGAAGACAATTCTCGTAAATGACTAAAACACTGCAACACGAGATGTCTCTCACTTTACAAGATATTTTTCTCACGATTTGCACTATATTTAGGCAAGGTGTTGATGTTTAACGAGACAATCCCTCTGGCTAAAACAAGATAAAAAAAGTTCTTCATCGACAACTAGTCTGCTTTTGTCATATGCTTTCGGCTTGCGATGTAGAAAGTAATTCCAGCCACGACCAAGAATGTTTAGGTCATAACTTTAATAATTGATATCATTATTATTAATAGGTAAGAAACGTTGGGCATTTTCAATTAAAAATTTGTCGAATCAATTTTTCTTGTTTGTTTGTGGATCAGAACTGGTTCACTCAAAAACCGCTTCTTGTACACTCTCCGTTACATTCCCAATAAGCTGAACCACAATCAGTACAAGATCCTCCGTCGGGGCCACCATTATCTCGTGTCTTTTGTTTCGGACCCTTATAAAGCAGAGCTCGTTCTGAGGGTCTAATTCTCGCACTGCAGAACGGGTCATATTTATAAGGCTCTGATACTGCACCGCGTACAGTCTTGTGGTGTTGAGGTCGAGATTTGAGCGCAGTATCAGGCCATCCCGATTTGTAACCATGAGTGCTATTACGCCTTGATGAGATTGGATACGTCGTAAGACTCGTTCAACGTCTGTTTTCGAAACTGATGCTTGAAAAGCTTGCACATCAAGATCATCCATTTTTCTGCGGGAAGAATATTTCTGATTGTAAGTAAGAAGTCAACATAAAATAGAATGAAATAAATGTCAGATGCGAAGTTAGGACTAATGCAGAAATTTGATCAATCGATGTGGATGCGAACCAGATGTGTGGATATTTTAGTTTGCTTTTATTTTGCGTCCTGAGCAGCTGTAAACTAGGAGCGAACTTGATGAGCTTCCTAAAGTATTGATCTGTAAAATCACTGCAGGAATAATTGAGTTCAACTCGTCTCTTTATGCGATGTTATCTCACTGTTTTAGTATATACAAAAACAACTATTATATTCACCTAAGTGTCGGTGGCTAGCGGTGAATATTTTCGACGCTGCTTCGCGGCTCGGTAAATATCCACCGCTAGCCACCTGCACTTCGGTGAATAGTTGTTTATTGACATGTGACACAATCCTGAAAATTGAGGGAAAGTGGTTTTTAGATCAGTAACAAGCAAGTACAATCATGATATCGCTACAATTCTCCGCGCTTCTAAACGATTTATTTTAACGACACGGTTGCACATCGTAGAAGGCCTTATTAAAGTTCGACAGATGAAAAGATTACTCATATTTAAGTGTCGCACTGTGAAAAACGTCAATCAAGAGTGAAATGCTCGAGAATTTCTAAATGGCATCTTTACACAGTTATAGAAAAATTTCAACCCTTTTTTACAAATCCTTATCAAATAACAAAAACGTTCAGTGTATGACAACAAGACCGTTAATTTCGAACGAAACAGTTTTTCAAATCGTTTGCGTCATATTTGGGAGGAATATATTTAATGATTACAGTAATAATAATACACATTGCAAATATTGAGGATGAAGTGCTTGTATCACAAGAACTCGTTCCGGGCGATCCGCCGCTTTTGCTTAAAAAAAGTCGATTGGCTGTAATATTCGGGTTAAGGAACCATGTCGTACAAGTGCATTTCTTTAGAAGACCGAGTACAAAAATACATCGCTAAAATGTTGTCATGAGTGTGACAATGTAAACAAACGTACTCGTTTATTTTTCTTGATGTCCTACATCTCAGTTTAAATCATTCCCCCAAGGGAAAAAAAAAACAAATTGTCAAAGAAATTCTTACCTGTTTGTCTTCGAAATCACCGTGAGAACACTGGTACCCTCAAAGGAAAAAGCAGTTTTCTTGAAACTGTGCCTAGTGAGTACGCTTGCTTAGATCTTCGTAAATATAACAGGTGTTTTAATCCTATTTAGTCTAGTAATTCACAATTACTGCTGAATCTTGAATTTACATTTAAATGCAAACTGACCGACAGGAAAAGAAAACATTTGGGCTTTTCTTCAAAGTCTCACTAAAACGTTTCCCACATAAAACATATTACTTTTTAGCATTTTTTCTTTCTTAAAAATTCTTAGGCTCGATGTAAAAGTATCTTAAATGCGTATTTCGTTAATGTTTCACTTTAGTTTTTTTAACGGCTTTAAAGGCAACAGTTTTGGGAAATTATAGATAGAGTTCTGTCAAAAAGAAAACTAAAATGATAACAATAATAATTATAGAAATAAAAAAACCTACTGGAGCTAAAGAAAAAAAATTGAAAATTTCGACGACTGCTTAATTTTTTGTTCGCTATAATTTGTGCGAGGTTCATTAAAACCAGCGTGAATTTTTAAGAGCTTTGTTCCATTTGAATGATTGTTTTCAATGATTCACTTGGAGTTGTCATACGACCGACAAATAAACGTGTGTTATCGTACAAGTATTCACCGTAAAGAATTCCTGAGCTTGACATCTCGAGTGTTATTAGTCCTTTATCAGATCAGCAGAAGGAATGTCCGTAGCTTAACAACTGAGTCATTCGTTACTTGGAGAGACTAAATAATATTGACGGAAAACTTGCTTAAGAAGTTACTAATAAGTAGCTAAAGTGCTACGTAAGACTGTACGTCTGCAGTGTACTGTACGTCTTCAGTGTGAATCTTGTACATACTTACTTTTTGTGGTATATTATTTTAATTACGCTTTGTTACTTCCCTGCCCAACCAATATTACATTGCTTTCTTTATATTAACAATAATGTTTGCTTGTTACAACAAATGACAACAAAAAAAGATGAAAAAGAGGGAGAGAAATATTAGATTATTTCATATCTAATTTCTTCGTGTCAAGGTAACAACATATGTGACAAATTGTCTGTGACGCTTTCTCGCGCTAAAAGTTTAAGGTTACAACGTGCACGATGTATTGCCTTTCACGGTTTTACGCGCTAAGGGCTAAAGGTTATAACACGAATACGTGTAGCGCTTCCACGCGCTTAAGGTCAACTGTTACAACATGTGTGATCTATTGCCTGTAACGCTTTCACGCGCTAAACTGTTGTATGTTTAAGTTGCTCAACAAGCCCTTAACTTTTTGATAGTCGTTATCGGAATATCGGAAGATATCGACAACTTTTTGAGGTTAAAGTTTATGTCGAATACACGTCTGTGATCAACAAAACATATTTCGTTCATAGTTGGGTGTAATTTTAAAGAGTTATTTCAAGTTATCAAAATATTCTTCAATTGAATTGTTAGAATTGTGAGCATAGGTCTCTGCCTTCGACCCACTTTTGAACTGGCCAATACGCATTAGGTTCCCTGTGGGAAAGTGATCTCGCTGTTCGTTTTTCCACTCTTGATTTCCCATATGGTTTCTGCTGTTCTGTTTCTCGTTCTTTGTCTCTTTTAAGAGTAATAATTCCCTACTATGTTTAGCTTTCAGATCAGTGTAGGTTTGACGCATGCGTTGTTGTAAGTCTTCGACCATTTCGCGCAGCCGGCTGACATCATTCATCTGTTCTCTAACATGTTCCAAACCTGTAAGCAAGAAAAAAAAACACAAAACATCTAAAGAACAATCTTAGAGTTCCTTTGTCATAAACGTCTCTTACCTATTGTTACCCAAGTTTTTTTTTGAGGTTTAGCCCTCGCAAGGAGTCGCTATCTGACTACTTTCACTGTTTGTCGGTTATTGTTACATAATCTGTTAGGTTAAGACCAAAAAGTCTTGCAAGGCTGGAGAAAAACTACCATCAGAGCTTGTCCGAGTTTCTGTAGAATTAACCAACAGAGAAGAGTAGCCTATCCTGAATGGAATGGTCGTCAATCACAATTATTAGAGCCCGATAATTCCTCCAGGTTTCCTGACAGTATGCTGATAGTTTGTTTACTCCTAGCTGAAAAGGGATATGCTAGTGCATACTTCTGAGTGAAGACGGTGATACATATGTTTACTCTTGCACGTGGAAAGGGTGATACTCATCCTCACTCCTGGTTGGAGAGAAGCTATGAGAGAGTATAGTGCCTTTCGAATGACACAAACAAAGACTAGAATAGCACACGAACCCACCAGACTCATAGTCTCCATACGGAATCCGGTCCTTTGTTCAAAAGCCTTCATATGATATTTTTTTTTCTATTCCTTTTAAAGCATCCAATTATCAGATTGTAGAGAAAATATTGTACAGAATTTTCTTTTAAAACTTTCAGATCTGAAATCAGATTTCACACTAAACCTGGGTTATCTTAGCCAGACTACGAACAACCCAGCCCTGGGCAACATTCTAGGAAGAAGGATATGTATCAGTGATGAGCATTTACCTCCATCGTTTCTTATTTTATTTTTGCCTTTGCAGCGATACAAAATTTCCCATATCAATCCAAGAACCACTGCCACCGCCATGCAAAATCCGCAGTAGAAAACAATATTTTTAAACAGTGGACTTGAAACTTCAAAAAGGCCTGTAGACATTTCTAGTACCAAAGGTTTACCGGTCTAGAATTAGAAAAGAGAACAGATCAGTAAATCAGTCAGTCCATCACTCAATCATTCATTAATTTATTAAATCGACCAATTAATTAGTCAATCTGTGCAAAAGCTACTTTTAGCATTCATGCCGTTGCTACTTCAGTTGGTCATTTGCTAAGTCTGTTAGACACTCAGAGAAAATATTTCTCACTTAGGGAGATAAGTTATAAAAGTCAGACAGTCTTCGTTTGTCAGTTAATCAATGGTTCGGTCACTCGTTCGTTTGTCCGTTCGTCCATTCGTTCGTTTGTTCGTTCGTTCGTTCTTCCATTCGTTCGTTCGGTCGTTCGTCCATTCGTTTGTTCGTTCGTTCGTTCGGTCGTTCGTTCGTTCGTTCGTTCGTTCGTTCGTTCGTACGTTCGGTCGTTCGTTCGGTCGCTCATTCGGTCGTTCGTTCGGTCGTTCGTTCGGTCATTCGTTCGGTCGTTCGTTCGGTCGTTCGTTCGTTCGTTCGTTCGTTCGTTCGTCCATTCATTCGTTCGGTCGTTCGTCAATTAGTTGGTTCGTTCGTTCGTTCGTTCGGTCGGTCAGTCGGACGTTAGGTCGTTTAGTCAGTAAGTCAGTCAGGCAGTCTTTCAGTCGGATAACAATTTATTCAATATACGAAAACAAAAGAAAGTCTTGAATGAAAGCGTAAAACCCTACCTCGATCGAATCGATATTCTCCTTGATGTTTTTAAATATATCTGCTATGTTCCCTCGTTTAAACAAGTCAAAGCATTTCTGCAATACGCCAGAATCCCCTCCAAAAACTATACCATATGTTGAGGAATAATCGTATATCTTGTATATGTAAAGATGTTTGGCTTTGTCGAAGAGCGCCCTCTCGCTACCAATGGCATACGTATCGAATAAGGCGTGTATCACTTTTCCGCTTTCCAAAGCCGAAAACACTTCACGGAATGTTTTGTACGATACTGCAATTTGCAATGATTAATTAATCAGCATTACTTTGTTTGCTGCAATTGAGAGTCTTTGAAAATAAGCATTTGGCACCGTCCAGTTTTAACGCAGGTTGATGTGGCTTATAACATGATAGTGCGATCTAAGGTTGTAGCTTCAATCGGGGGAGGGTGAGGGGGTTGCACACGTATCCCTTTTCTTTATAATTACTTACAATAATGTGCCATACCCCCAGTCCCATTAGCCACCAAGTTTAATAAAAGTTCCCCCTTTCTCGCATAGCCAAATATGGAAAGGAATTTGCTCCCTACGCCCCTGGGATTAATCGTTGATACTAAAATCCCTAAAGCTCAGGAAATTAAATTAATAAGGTAACTAAGTCGAGCTGGGGAATAATTTGTTCATTTTTGCCTTCTTAAGAACTCGACAACCAACAAATAATCACTAATTTCGAAATAAGACGCTGCGACTTAAACTCTCAATTGTACAAAACTTAAAATAATAAGTTTTTAACTAGAAAATAGATTTCTTCTTTGTGTCTCACCATTGTCCATCTTGGCATTCTTTCGGATTCCAAAGCGAAATTCTGGAGACTGTTGCACGGCTGCTACCTGGGAATCGAAACATAGAGAACATCAGTATTCATATGTTCTTCACATAGTTCCATTTACAATTCCAATGATACTGAGAGCGAGAATTTGTTTGACAATTTGGAGCTTCCTGAACAGAAGATCATATCCTTTTGGAAATTTTGAAAACTACTTAAAGTCTTTTGTTCTGATATTTTCGCAGATTGCCTCGATCATTCAAGAACACTGGAAAATTAGCGCAGTTCAGTGGTTTCCGTTGTAACAGTTTGATCACTTCACAAAGTTGAAAGCTCTGAAGGCCCCAGCTAAATCATAAGAACTCTATGGTAATCTTTACCTTTTTCCCATAAATATCGAAGTTCAAATCGATAGTAAATGATGTTAAAGCTGTGGTGATGGATCCATTGAGAATACCTATAATGACAAGTCCCATAAGAATCCAGAACACTGAAAACAAGCGGCCGTATCCAGTTACTGGCGCCCGGTCACCATAGCTAAAGGGAGATAGAACATATATAATGACCAGCTAGTTAGGTGAAAAATTAAAAACCAAGCAAACGAAAAATTGTCAACAGCTTTACTAACATACTAATGTATTTGCTGAAATTCTAACTAACCCATTGAATCATACTCGCTAAATCACTCTCTCATTAATTAACTGATTGATTGAATGAATGATTTACTGAAAAACAATACGAAAAGAAAATACCATAGCTGAGAAACTTGTATAAAATGGGTAAGCACAGTGGCTCACCAATTTAAATCATGGCCAATCAGGTGCTCTTTGTGCAGAACAATATTTAGGTCAGCACCTAAAGTAGTCCGGGATTGCAAAGATCGTCGTTATGCGACTAGTGTAGATAAGATCTATAATCTGGCAAACGTTTAAAATGACCTTTGTAATACATACCCAACGGTTGTAGCGGAAATGTATGACCACCAAACACCTTCACCGGTGCCTCGGATAAAAGATGATTTAAACTGTTTCGTGTTCTCTTCTCTCTCCTTGAAATGGATAAGACAGAGGTAAGGATAAGAGCTTTATACCATCATGGAGCCCCAAATATTCAGTCTGATATCGGTGATAACTCCTTATGGGGCAAGAAACAATTTGATAATGTCACATGCAACAAGCATGCTGCAGTATTTGGCCCATCAGCGAGCTCAGTGGTAAAGCATTGCACTTCAAAATCGCAAAGAGCGGAAGATGTTTCATCCAGGTTATCAATCGCTGAAACATCACTAATCGCTCGTTTACTCATCTGTTAAACGCGTTATCGACTCTTTCTACATCATTAAATTTATTGGCCCAAGGTGGGCGTTGCCAAAGCGCATTCTTGTTTTTCATTATGATCTATCTCAGAAAAGCAATTTGATTGCCTTCTGGGAATTTTGAAGCTTAGTAGAAAACTCAACCACTTACCAAATACCATATAACTATTCCCGATAGGAGTACTGATACCATGGTAATTGCCATAACGGGCCATAAGCCAATAACAGCAGCAAATAAAGAATACTCCTTCGAGTTGTCAACTTTTGTATTCACAATGTGAGCTATGCCAGGTGATTGAATAAGGTCAATGAACCTGTAATCATTTTTATAGCTGTGGATGAGAGAAGAAATAAAAATACAAGAGTTAAAATCAGCAGGTAATAACTAGGCAGTTGTCAGTGGGTCAGTCAGGAAGTATTCCGGGACTACAAACTGTCGCCTCATCAGTGAGACAGTCGGTCAGCGGGCTGGCAGTTCAATCAGAGGGAAAATTAGCTTCCCACGTAGATGCCATAAAAGTTTGAACACCTAAAAATTTCAGAAGGGATCCTATAGCAATAAACCTGTTGCCTCTTACAATTTTAAGAAATTATTTTCGTCTATGGCGGGGTTTAATTGCGCGGAATGACTACTCGAGCTCTGTAAAAAAGAAGTCTGCTGATTTTAGTGTCAGGAATGTGTTACATGATAGGCTAAACCCTTTATATTCTCTATACTGTTCTATAGACATTTCCTAAGGTGTTGACAAAGAAAATTTGTTTAACAATCATGAGCTCTTCTATACAAAAAAAAATATCCACAGTTCACTTCAGTTCAGTGTCTTTATCCGCAGTTCACATACGTGATTTTCATATATTCACAGTTATTTATTCATCACTTGATGGGTTTTATTTGGAACCAACATAAAGACCAGCTCCCAGTAGGCATGTTAGCTCTCTTGGTAGAGCACTGCACCGGTATCGCAAAGGTCATGGGTCCAAATCCCGTACAAGCCGACAATATTTTTCAGGCCCTGTTTTCACAGCTGCTCAAGTAGTGTTCATTACCGCAAAGGTCGCTTTCATATTCACGTTTTTATCCGCAGTTCACATATGTGATTTTCATATATTCAAAGTCATTAATCATTATGATTATGAAATACCTCGTGTACCAATTCTTTGTTCTTAACACATTTTCGCGTCATCTGTGATCTCTTAGTGAACTGACGTGCGGCAACATGAAATCCACTTGTTAATTTCATAGCCATAAATAACAAAAACAGTTTGTACACTTACTTAAGCTTTCCCTCAAATCCAAAAACCGGAAAAGAAAAATCGATTTCTTGCGAAATGTTCTCAACCATATCGTTGTATGTTTTCTTGTTTTGCAAAGTTTCTTGACTGGTATAGCTGCTGTAGTCAACATAAGATTCTCCATGGCTTTTACAATAGCCACAACAGGCAGACACCATGTCCACTACAATTGCTGGAATAATTCCACCAATGGGCAAGCTGGATGTGGAATTGTCAATCACGTGGTCAACATATGGCGGAAAAAACATCCAGTTGGTGGTCAATCGCTTGTGACAATAGCACGTTTCTGTGGATCAAGGAAAGTGAAAGCTAGAACAAGCTTGGCAAATGCTATGCCGAATGTTATACCTAGATGAGGAAAATGAGGAACCACTCACTAATCGAGTTCGAAGTCCATACCGTAAAATACGGAGCGATTTTTTTTCTCTTTTTTTTGGGTCCGCTGTGTTCAACGTCGTGATCTTTCTTCCCTGCCGCGTTCTTTGCATAAAAACTGAAATATCAACAGTTGATGGAATAACGGTAATTTCTCATTTTACCTGCGAATATCGTTGCACTCGGTCCCTCTCCTTTACGGGTGGCTCCCCAAACCTCTATTTTGTACACAGTATATCTGTTCATGTTCTCAAGTGTTGTGGATAAATTACCAGCCGGAAGCACTTTCTCTTTAGGAGTTCCATCGAGTTCTGTTCCATCTACCAGCGAAATGGGCGTGTAACGAACGCGGTATTCCAGAAGAACACCACAAATATTCTGCGGGGGGATTGGACGCCAAGACACCGGAATGGTGGAAAGAGAAGTGTGGTTTTCAGCCACAAGGTCTTGAGGGGGAAGGTTAGGCACTGGAAACCAGAATAATAGATAAAAATAAATCAAATAATAAGAATAATAAATTAATGTTTCTGTTACTGTATATTAGGCCATGTTCCGGTGTTTTAGATCAGTTTTAATCTTGCTAACAATCGAAAGGTAGAGATAGAAAAAAAAACAAAGAACAAACAAAGAAATCAACAACGAAAAAACAAAACAACAAACCAAAAACAACAAACAAACAACAACAAAATAACAAACATACACACGAATCAAAGTCCTCTGATCACAACTCAGAAACGAGGCCTTTTGAACCCTCTGAATTAATCCAAGCGTTTCCCAAGAGATAAAAACATGGCTGACAGCAGCGCAAAACGTATTTTCAGTGACACGTCAATAACTTCTCAGCTAGCATGTTTTCAGAAAGTGCATCGTGAAACAGCCGTTTTTAGAACGAGATTAAACTCAAAACCAGATCGATTTCAACAAGCTTTTGCAAAACAAAACAAAAAAAAACACTTGAACTTGTTACCTATTACTCTTTTGAAAACGGGAATCACATGGACTGTTCACCAAAAGAAAAGCTATTGATCAAAATATCCTTACCACCCTCTTCCGAGGCCACATAGACTGCCTTGCTCCAGGAGCCGTTCTTACATAACGTAACCGTATGCAGCTGAACACTGTAATTGGTAGAAGATGTCAGTCCATCAATCTCCACCATCGTTTCAGTTGAGTTTACTCGAACAGTTATTACCGATATGCTAGCATCAAGTGGCGCAAACTGGATAACATATTCCAGCACGAGTGGGGAGGGGTTAGGTGACCATTTAACACGTGCAGAGGAATAGTCCGTCATATTTGCTTTAACACGACGCGGTGCAGCCAGTGGACCTGAAGGAAACATGCAAGACTTAAAACAAAAACAATAACAACAACAACAAATAAATGAATTATATAAATAATGAAAATAAAACAGAATTGAAAAGTTATATTTCCTTTCTTCATATCAAGATATTTCTTTTTCAGACCTTTAGCTGATAAATAAAACCGGCCGATAACGTTTGGAGGACAAAATAAACTAAAGAATAAAGTTTGTTTGTATACTTCATTTTTGCGAAGAATCACAAACCAGGAATTAACGCTGATTCTCAGCGAAGAATTTCTACGGTGTTTCTTAGGCTTCTTTCTTTTAGCTACTCATCCAATTAATCCATTAAATACCAAAATCTCTTCATTGCCCTTGCTGTCGTCCACGCTGTTCTCACGTTGGCAATTCTGAGAAATGGGGGTCAGATTTAGGAGTGATTGTATAATTTGTATTTATTTCGTGAGAGGAAATTTTTTATTTGTCCTTCCTAAGAGTGAAAAGTTTAATTTCAAAACAAACAGAAGGTTACCTTTTCTTCCTGTGACAACATAAGTTGGTTCACTTTTTCGGTTCTGGCCGCAAGTCAATGCAAACTCAAGCTCAACACTGTAGTTTACATGAGTTGAGAGATTTTGTATCATTAGGTACTTTCGAGAGAAATCGGAGACATTCATACGTTGTGCCAAATTTGGGGCGACATTTACTTCGTGATATACAACCGATGATGCGGAGACAGTTTGTTGTCTGGGAAGACAGACGATGATTGACGAGTTACCACGCGTAAATGCAGTCAGCTTTGAAACTGAAATCATCATGGAAACAAAGAATGTTATAGATTAAGAGTTGCTTTTCACTATGTTTTTAGACCCTATAAGGGAGAGTCAAAAGAGTTAGCACCAACTAACCTTGATTTTTTTTCTACAACTTGTTCTTAGCACCAACCGTTTAATTTATCACTTTCTTTCACGTCTCCAAGTCAAAATTAGCAAATATGAAGAAATTTACTTCTCTTTTGACAATGGCTCATCGTATTCTCCAAAATGCTTTAACTCAAAATGGCCTTTGTGCTGACCATAGAGCAAAGCGAAATTACTGACGCTGACTAAGTCAAATTATCTCTACAATACAGTCGAGGGCACCAAATTCAAACAATGATATATCGTAAAACTGTTCTTTTTTTGTTTTTTTCGGTAACAGAACGTACAAAGTTCTCTGCTAGCTACTATCAGCATATGATGTGATAAGCTCTTTTAAGTATGATTTTTCAATTTTACGCAGAGCTCAGGGTGAAACAAAATAAGTTTATCCGGTTTGGTTTCTTTATTTACTGGACTATAAGTAATCCCACTTACTAGAAAAGTTACTCGTTTGTATAGCTATAAGAGAGCTTAGCGGACCGAGTCCCTCTGCAGTCTTTCCAGCCACGCGGACAGAGTAAGTGTGGGACGGGTCGAGACCAGTTAAAGTCGCGACGGTGATGTTAGCTCTAGTTGATAAAACCGATGCATTTCCTTGTCCAAAAGGAGTGTAATGTACCTCGTATTCCTCCAGGGAGGGGAAGTGTGGGATTCTTTCCCAGCAGACTTGCAAAGTTGTGGAGTCTACGCTGGTGACCTTTATTCCACGAGGAGGAACTACGGGAACTGGAACAAACAAGAGGACACCGTGATGCATTCTGATTCAAATCATTATCATCATTATTTTGCACATTTGAAGACATTTTTAACGGTAAGTTACTCTTTATACTATATTAGTATATGTAGGGATAGATATTGACTGGGAAATTAGGTTAATTTATGACATGGCCTCTAGGCTACGCTT